TGGTGGGGAGGACATTTGTATCTATATAACTTGATTTGTTTCTGTTAAAATTATCTGAAGCAAGCCTGGGTGTGGTGGTGCATCCCTGTAGTCTCGGCATTCTGGGAAGCTGAGGATGAACAAAAGTTCAAGCCCAGACTGGGCAACTTAATGACTTACTGAGACCCTGTCTGAAAAATTAAAAAAAAAAAGTGCTGGGGAATATTGCTCAGAACAGAGCACCCAGGTTCAATCCCCAGTACTGAGGGAAAAAATTTTGAACCAAATATGGCATAATATATTTTTTTTTTCTGGTACTGGGGATCGAACTCAGGACCTTGCCTTTTCGAGGCAGGCTTGGCACCACTGAGCTAAATCCCCAGTGTAAGGCATATTATTATCTATCGATTTGTGGTATGTGGTGCATCGATGTTTTACTTTAGGCACTTGTCTTTATGTTCAAAATGTTTTGTAATTTAAAATTGAAAAAGAAATGGACACAGTGTTCCACTGTGGCATGCTAGGCTGGTTGCATGAGGGCACACAGGCATTGTGAAGTGGATTCTGGAGCTCTGCCTCAGACCTCTCAATCCTTAGGGGCATCAGCATCAGGGAGTCTGGGTTCAACAAAGCTCTCCAGATGGTTCAGATACTTAGGCAGGTTTAGGAACCACCATGACTGTTCTGCAAATGCCTAAAACAGAGTCCTGTAGACTCTCACCTTTCTTGTTCTCTTTGTGGAACTTCTGCTAATAGAGTGTACAATTATATTAGCTCTTGCTGGGAACGGTGTCCAGAGAAAAGAGCTGAAGCTGGAGAAGGATCTTCAACATGTCATAGAAGAGCACATGAAAGAGCTGAAAGTACTGGATTTAAAGAACACCTGTGGCAGTAGTGAAATATTGCACAGTGTAGGACATAGATCCATTATTGGGTTAGGCTTAAATTTTTCTAGCTTCACTAGATAGAACCAGCTTTGCATTGAACTGAAGAAGACCTCTCATTGTGCAGTAATAGAAGAGTGTACTTTTTGGAAGTAGTGGATGGCTTATTTGGGAAGTAGATTAAATAGAATTGCAAGGTAGGGGATGGAAAGGTGACCCAGATCACCAGAGGTCCCATTTGTCTTTTGGAATATCTTTTCAGCAAGAAATACTTTCCCATATTTTTTCCTGTCATGCATCCCATTTCACCAACTCTGAAATATATCTCTGAAATATTTACCTCTTTTTGTTAAAATGAGCAGTTTTTTTTTTAAATACAATTGCTTTATTTCCACATTTTTACAGTCCCCAATATTGTATCTGATAGGAATCTTCAGCTCTAAAAACACAAAAATATTTCAAGAAAGCATGTTACAAGATAGTACATATAAGCAATAGTTTAGCAGAATTTTATCAACTAGTTCATACCTCCAAAAAAAGAATTTTAAAATTCAAAAATAACCATTAGCTTTATTTAACATGTTACATCTTAACATTTAAAATACCATGCTCTAGTTAAATATTTCAGCAACAACACTGTATACAAATAAAATATTACACAAAATATATTTAAGAAAATGTTTTGGTCTTGGATCTGAACAATAAAAACACAGGCACTTCTACATTGCGACAGGGAAGCAATCACTACTCAGAATAATAACTGTGGATAAGCAACATGTGAAAATGTGGCAAGAATAGAATCCTGGAGTTTTAAACTGACAAACCACTTAAAACATCTGTAACTGCCATCTTTGCATTTCAAGTTCAAAAGTCCTAATCCACAATGAAAATTTATAAACTCATATGAATGGTTGTCAGGGGAGATGCAATCATCAGTTGGCTATTATGGAATCACACTTCTTATTTTCCAAATACTAAAATTATGTAACTATTGTGACATCACCCATAAGAAAAATTAAACTTATTTTCCTGATCATAAACCACAACAAGATAAACTGGATGTGTCATACAGTGACTCTTATTTTATAAAATTAACTAATTAATTAACATAAAATACTGATGGGGTGGCAGGAAACTTTGATATACTCTATTTTCTAAACAATTTTAAAAATTCATCCACATTTCAGCTGGGTGTCATGGCACATGCTTGTAATCCCAGCATTTGGGAGGCTGAGGCAGGAGGATGGCCATGACTTCAAGGCCATCCTCAATGCATAGCAAGTTCAAGGCCAGTCTGGACTACATAGTGAGATGAGACTCTGTCTCAAAAAAACAAAAACAAAAAACCAAACAAGCAAAAACAAAATTCATCCACATCTTATGAAAATAACATAATTCCATTTCACAAAAACCATTGAGTCATGAACAACAAGATCTTGGTAGCAAATAAGTTCAATATACCTGAATTATAGATATATCAGTCATTATAATGGAAGTAAGAATATTCTCATACAGAAGGGCAAAACAAAAATAACTTACAGTGGTCAAATTCTAGAAACATGACTCAGATGAAAGGGCACAAATTAGAAGATAATGACCATTAGCGAGTAGAAGGGATTAGAACCAATCACCCTGTCATATTCTCCATAAAAAATTGTCATCTGCTTTCCCTGGTCACAAAAGTACCAAATCGAAGGGCTTGGAGGCCCTCAAATGGATACTACTTATAAAAGCAATTCCGATGGCTTAACATACAAATAACCTAATGTGAAAATACAATTTGGGTCCAGATATGCCTTTCTATGCAAAATTTAGCTTATATATAGTTTAGCATTTTAAATGAGCACTTTGCAACCTCGACCAAATATCAATCATCTCCTGAGGTTTTCTACTATGTACTAACATCAAATCTACGTAGAAACAAATATTATTCCTGTTTTTCTCCTCGATATCAAATGTCCTGAAGCCTTTGTGTTTCTCTGGAACGAGGCCGAGTTTCTGAAGGCACATTCCAGTATAAACATCATCAATGGCATAGAGATGAACCCGGTCAGTGATGTTGTACAGCCTCAAGGCCAAGTGGCCGGAGTAGAGGAATCCACCTCCCCCTGCATAAGGTGGGTAAACCCCAGAGTAAACAACTTCCGGGATGTAGTACTTCGGTTTCTTATCTCGATGGGGCCCAGCATTGTGGATCACATCACCTATAAACAAATCTTCAGCTTTGCTCTTGGACAAGCTATTCAAGTAATTCAGGATGTGATGTGTGTTCACAAAAACACCGTCATCGCCCTTGAAAATGAGCTCAGTGTCTGGGCAGGAAGTACTCACCCACCTGAGAAACAGCACTTCCTTCAGAGACAAGTTGAAGAAAGTATCTCTGTAGTTCCACATAAGAATGTCTTGGTGCTTCTCACTCTCAAATTTCAGCATATCTGAAAGGTCTGGATGGTTGTCCTCTGCCGGGGTCTGGCCCAGCAAGAAAACGCGCACCACTGACTGGTTCCCCACATTGGTTTCTCTGCCCCAGGATTCCCGAATTGCTTGTCTTCTGGCGAAATGTGGAGTGAGGGACTTAATAGCCAGCAATAAGAAGTGTTTCTTTGCACATTTATTTGGCTGATCTATAATCAGTGAATAATTTCGACATCTCAAATATAGGAGAAAGTCTTTAAATCTGTCCGGCAAATTGTTAAAATCTGTTATAACGGATGGGACCCTCAGGTCAGGTTCACAGTAATTCAGATGGCTTCTAGTTGAAGACCCATATCCATCCCCGGTCTGGTTGGCCAGCATGCTCAAAATGGGATTGTACTGCTTGTTCAGCTTTTCTTGTTCTCTGTTCCAGCGTGCCTGGGGAGGACTAGATAGCGTCCAGAACTTTTCTCTGGGTATTATTACCTCCCCTTTTCCATTTTTTTCTTGGCTACTGCTACACTCAAATAAATGACGTTTGCCATCATCAGGATACCCAACAACTTTATTCTTCGACGTCCTACACTCATTTCTCATATCTTGTCCGGGGGCAGCTCCAGCTCGGCGGGGCGGGGACGTGAGATCGCGGCAGCATCCACGTCCCAGCCGCTCCGCTCCCCTCCGCGTGGCTCAGCCCTGCGACCAGCGCCGCTCACGCTCCGTGCGCCGCGCCCGGCAGGGCGGCTCGCGTGCTCCGTGGCGGGCACGGATGCCTCTCGCACTTGTTGCCTCCGCGGCAGCTGCCAAAATGAGCAGTTTTACTTATTGCTGATACTCTTCATATTTACAGTAGTATTTTTTTCTTTTGTAGTACTGAGGATTGACCTCAGGGAGTGATGAGCTACATCCTGGCCCTTTTTTATTTTGAGACTGAGTCTTACTAAATTGCCCAGGCTGGCCTTGAACTTGCCATCCTTCTGCTTAACCTCCTGGGTGACGGATTACAGGCTTGTGCCATCACACCTAGCTATAGTAGTAATTCTAGTCTTGATTTTTTTCTGAGAACTGAAGGCCAATAAGACAAAATTGATCTTTTTATAAGTGAAGGTCACTGACACTATTTAATGAATATTAATTAACTCACAATAGGGACATCTTTCCTGTAGGGAAATAGGTTTTTTTCTACCTCTACAAGGGCCTGGCACCTAGAAAAGTACTCTGTTTTTTTAGTGCATGCCTTTTTTTTTCTGGGCAGTTGTAAGCAAAATGTAACTAGACTGAAACACATAATGATGATTTTTTTTTTTTGAGACAGGATCTCACTATGTATTTGAGGCTGACCTTGAACTCAGCTTCTGCCTCAGCTTCCTGAGTGCTACAGGCATGCCTCACCACGCCTGGCCAATGATGATGATTTCTTTCTTTCTTTTTTTTTTTTTTGATGATGATTTCTTGACACAGTAGTTTACTTGGTATCTAGTAGGTTATTGTACTTTTTTTTTATCCCCAAGAGGGCGATCTCACTATGTTGTCTAGGTTGATCTCTAACTCATGGGCTCAAGTGATCCTCCTGCCTCAGACTCTTGAGTAGCTGGGACTATAGGTGTGTGCCATTACCCAGTTAAATTATGGTACTTTTAACCTGAGATTGAGAAAGGTTTCGCAGTTCTTTTTGTGAAGGCGTTCTCATTACCAGCATTAACGGAGTTTTATTTTTCACAGAAAAATTTTGAAAGACCTGTCTTCTGAAGATACACGGAGCAGAAAAGGAGACGGAGAAAACCCCGGAGTTCCTGCTGTCACATCTATGTCTGTTCCAACTCCCATCTATCAGACTAGCAGTGGACAGTACAGTATGTATAGGATCATTTCCACCTGATGGATACACAGCTTAGGTTTTCTGTAGGAAAAGGTGGTGTGAAGAAAGACTGTGATATTTAATAGTGGTAATTATTGAAAGATAATATTTTAAGCTAAGAATAATGCAAAGTACCTTTTCAGTGTTGTCTCATTTACTGCCTACAGCAACTTATTGAGGTAAGCAGTTACTAGTTTATGAGGGAATGGAATCTTAGGAAGTTATACAGCTTGTAGTTGATGGAATATGATGCAAAATTAGATTGTTATGAAGCTGGAAATTTAATCCTTCCCCAACTATAACCATTTTTTTTTTTCGGTACCGGGGATCGAACTCGCGTCCTTGTGCTTGCACAGTAAGCAGCGAAACCACTGAGCCAAATCCCCAGCCTCTTCCCCAACTATAGTATTGCATACAGACTGCTCTTTTGGACACTAGCCACTGTCCATGACCTTAATTCCTGTGGAATTTACTATTTGGAATAGTTACACAATGAAAGATTAAACATGAACATTGGATTTCAGTATGAGGTTAAGGAAGTTTGAGTTATAAAGAGAATTTAGACTCTGCGGTGTGATTTCAGGGGCTGATCACCTTAATGAGTCACTAAATCTCTGTATCTGAAAATGGTACAAAGATTAGTCAGGGCGAAGTGTGGTGTACACCTATATCACAATACTTGGGAGGTTGAGGCAGGAGAATCCCTGAGTTCAAGGCCAGCCTCAACTACACAGGGAGACCTTGGTCTCATAAATAAATAAAATAAAAAGGGCTGGGAATATGGCTAAGTGCAAAGGCTATAGGTTCAATTCCTAATATTGCAAAACAAGGCAAAAAAAGAAGAATCTCATCTAGGAATTAGGTAAAGTCATAAAGGATACAAATGTGGTCCTTGCCTTTGTGTGTTTGTGGGGTACTGGGTATTGAACTCAGTACTGAGTTACCACCCAGCTTTTAAAAAAAAATTTTTTTTGGGTCAGGGATTTAGCTCAGTGGCACCGTTCCTGCCTCAAAAAAGTGCAAGGTCCTGAGTTTGATCCCCAGCACACACACACACACAAATTTTGTGTGTGTTAACTGTGTTTTGCTTAATAACTTAGGAAGTAAAGTCTTGGTTTTTAAAAAGGACATGACAAAATTGACAAAGTATAATGAATTAGCCCTCTCAATATTTTCAAGTTCAGCTTTTAGTTTTACTTGCAACATTTTTAATGAAAAGTTCAACCATACTAAAAGTTGAATAAATTGTTCAAAAGACACATTTTTTCAGGCTTTTCTTTTGATGACATTTGAATTTGGAGTTAATGATTTTAAAGGCTTTTGTATCTCTGGGATTTCCTCTATATTTACTTTTAATACTTTTTTTTTTTTTTAAACTTTAAAATCTTTGATCCATCTTAAATTTATTTTGGTGTAAGGAGTCGGGAAACCCAATTTTTTTTTTCTAGTTTTCTACTCAGTTTATGGGAGTAGTACTATTCATACATTTAAATCTCTCCTTACTGAAATAGGAATTTAGTATAAGGTGAAGGTGATATTTCATGCATATCTGGGTCTATTTTGATCATTTTTATATTTGTATAGTTCCATACATAATTATTATGTAATAATATAGGCTTTTTGGGTTTGTTTGGTTGTTTGTTGGAAAGGAGCATTTGAGACAGGGTCTCACTGTTGAGCGAGGCCCTGAACTCACTTTGTAGCTGAGGTTGGGTGCCAATTCATGGCCGTCGTCCTTCCTCAGCCTCCTCCGTGCTAGGAGTACAGGTATGTGCCACCATGCCCAGCTAATAATACAGCACCCCCCCCCGCCCCAATTTTCCTGGCTAGTGTTTTAAAAATGTTAACTAGATGACCTCACTTAGGCTCAAAACCTCTATTTTCTGTCACACTTAGGATAAAACCCAGGTCCTGTAAGGCATTACATTCAGGATCTGGCCTTGCCTACCATTCGGGATGGCATTCTGGCCACACAGGTTTTCTTGTTGTACATGACACCCACAAAGCTTGTTTCTACTTCAGAGTCTTTGGGGTTATCTTTCTCCCTGCTTACCATGTTCTTCCCCAAAATAGTCATGTGGCTTGTATCCTTACTTCGCTGCTGAGTATCCCCTTATACGGATAACTCGTGTTAAAGTATGTTCTCCTTTTCTTTAGTTTTCTTCACCTCCATGTTATTATTATTATTTTTTTTTTCACCTCCATATTATTGTTTGTAGCATTTATAAAGTAATTAAATTTGTAATCCTGGAACTTGGGAAGCTGAGACAGGAGGATCTGACTTTGAGGCACCCTGGGCTACATAGCAAATTCTAAGGCCAACCTGGACTATATAACGAGACTGTCTCAAACCCCTTCTCAAAGAAAAATACGTAATAGTTTACTTACAGATTATATGTGTATAATTGTGGCTTAGCTTATTTCTGATCTGTCCTCATTAGAATGTATGTTCCTTGAGGGAAAGAACTTTGTCTCATTCATAGCTACATCTTTGTTATATAGGACCTGGCACATAGTAGGCATTCAATTAAAATTGTGAATAAATGAATTAAATGAATACACACACACAGTGGTTGCAAGGAAAGAAACTTGGTAGCAGAGCTCAGTGGCACTGGAGAAGTTCACTTTAAACAAACTTGAGTGTTTTTTTATTTTTATAACATTGTTTGGGAAGAAATTTGTTATGTGACTCTAATTTTCTTTTTTTTGTACCGGGGATCGAACTCAGGACCTTGTGCTTGCGAGGCAGGCACCGGAACCACTGAGCTAAATCCCCGGCAAATCTTTTTTTTTTTTTTTTTTTTGGTACCGGGGATCGAACTCGGGTCCTTGCGCTTGCGCAGCAGGCGGAGAAACCACTGAGCTAAATCCCTGGCCCAAACTTGAGTTTTTCTTTACTACATATACTATATATGTTACTGACCCCCCCCCAGTTTTTAAGGCAGTATATTAACAAGTTAAAATATGGCTTATTCTAAGACCATTAAAAAGTTAGACTACATAGAAACTTAGGCATGTGCCTGGATTTTAGCTCAGTGGTTCTGGCACCTGCCTCACAAGTGCAAGGTCTGAGTTCAATCTCCAGTACAAAAAAAAAAAGAAACTTAGGCAAATATTTCATGTTATAATTGAGATAAGTATAATACAAACTAGAATTTAGGGCAAAGCTTCCTGTGATGACAGAAATGCATATCTGCATCACTGAGTACAGTAGCCACTGAACCAGGTGACTGTTGAGTCCTTGAAATGTGGCTGGAGAGATTGAGAAGCTGAATTTTTTATTTTGTTTAATTTAACCTAATAGGCATGCAAGGCTGTTGGTTACTTAACTGTTCTGTATTATCAAATTTATTTCACATCACTACATGCATCTACAAATGTGTATGTTTTGATTTATGTATTACTGTGTCAGTCTGTATGAGCATACAGAAAGATTGGGAACGATGTGCACCAAAAGTTGGTTACTTCAACATGTGAACGGTGACCACTCCCAAGTGAGTGTCACCATGCTGAGTCTTTAAAGACACGAGTTAAATATGTGAGAATATTTGTGTGTAGCAGTGGGGAGGGAGTAGAAACACCTGAAAAAAATTTTTTCACTTATGGCCCTCTCCAGCACACACACACACACACACACAGAAGTTTATTTTAGCTTCCTGGCAGGTAAAGCATAAAAAGGAAAAAGATGTTGCATAGTTACAATTTGAAAAGAGGGTACAGAGATGAAACACTAGGTTACAAAGGGGATTTTTAAAATTTGAAATTGCATAATGCTAAAGTAACTTCTGTTTGATTATATCTTCTGGGTTTTAATTTAAGGGAAGACCCATTATCACAAGTATAATTCAATGAAAAATGTTTACAGGGAGCTAAGTAATGTGATCCAATAGGTGGGTTCTGGTGACTTTCTTTTCACAAGGAAATGAATGAACAGATTACATTTCTTAAATATCAGTTACATAAATAGCATGTAAAATTACAATGTTTGTTTCCTTTTCTTTTTTATCTTTTAAAAGTTAGCCATGGGTGCCCTCTTCTGATGCTTTAGAATTTGTGATATTAGCAATTAATAGAGTGCCCCATGGATTCCAAAATGTGCTGTTTTTACCAATCAGTTATGTATTATACAACTTGAGAATGAATTTAAGACAGTACAGCTGAACTATAGAATTTTATAAAGAAATGCCATTTTACTGTTTTTCACTATTTGGTTCATCCAAAGTGGTCCACAATTACCGAGCAGAGTTGCATTGAAACCTATTTTAACAGGTAGTTTGGGTTTTTTTCACCCATTTTTTTATGTAGCCTTATAATACTATTTTTTCTTTTGGTCAAAGTTGCCATTGCCCCAAATGGAGCCTTACAGTTGGCCAGCCCAGGAACAGATGGTGTGCAGGGACTTCATACATTAACCAGGACCAATTCAGGCAGTACTCAGCAAGGTACAATTCTCCAGTATGCACAGACCTCTGATGGACAGCAAATACTTGTGCCCAGCAACCAGGTGGTTGTACAAAGTAAGTATGCTTAACTATCTATGGAAAGTTTCCCAAAGTACTTTCAAAGACACTTAGCAACTAATTCACCTTTCTGGCCATACAGCTGCATCAGGAGATATGCAAACATATCAGATCCGTACCACGCCTTCAGCTACTTCACTGCCACAAACTGTGGTGATGACATCTCCGGTAACTCTTACATCTCAGACAACTAAGACAGATGACCCCCAACTGAAGAGAGAAATAAGGCTGATGAAAAATAGGTAAGCAGTAAAATTATACTACCAGAATGGGTAAGGGTTTTGTAAATCTTAGAACATACCATATGTTAGAATAGTATAATTAGAAAGAAGGAGATACATGTCAACTTTATTTTACTGTAAGATTGTCTACTTCAATCCCAGTAGATCAGTGGGCCCCATTTCTTACTTTCTTTATTTAACATGCATAGTATATGCTCTAGAATTATTCTAGTTTTATTGTGTCCTTTGAAATACCATTGTTAAGGAAAGCTTTTCAGACAACATTTTGTTCTTGTTGGACTCACAGAGTTAAGTGAAAATTATACAAGCATACCTTGGAGATATTGTGGGTTTGGTTCCAGATCAACACAATAGAGCAAATGTCACAATAAAGCAAATTATGAGTTTTTGATTTCCCAGTGCATATAAAAGTTATGTTTAGGGGCTGGGGATTTAATTTAGCTCAGTGGCACCATGCCTGCCTCGAAAGCGCAAGGTTCTGAGTTCGATCCCTGGTACTAAAAAAAAAAAAAGTATGTTTACAGTATACTTGTGGTCTATTAAGAATGTGATAGCATTATGTTTAAAACTACTTTACTGGTAAAAAATGCCAACAATCATCTGAACCTTTTTTTTTGCTACCGGGGACCAAACTCAGGACCTTGTGCTTGCGAGACAGGCAGCGGAACCACTGAGCTAAATCCCCGGCCCCATCTGAACCTTTAACAAGTCTGATCATTTTGCTGGTGGAAGGTCTTGCTTTGATGTTGAGGGCTACTTATTGATTAGGTAGTTGTGTTACTTAAGACAGATGTGAGGGCTGGGGATCTAGCTCAGTGGTTCTGCCACCTGCCTCACAAGCACAAGGACCCAAGTTCGATCCCCGGTACCGAAAACAAATCAAAACAAAACAAAACAAAAAACAAGTGAGTTCTACATCTCCTTGAATGAAAGATTCTTTTGTAGCGTGTGATGCTGCATAAAAGCATTTTATCCACAGAACTTCTTTCAGTCTTGGAGTCAGTCCTCTCAAGCCCTGCCTCTGCTTTATTTCATCTCAAGAAACCCTTTTTGTTTTGGAGAGGGAACCCAGGGCCTTCACACTGAGCTACATACAAAGCCCTATAAACATTTTTTAAAATTTTGAGACACAGCCTCCCAGAGTGGATCAAGAAACCACTTTGTTTGCTTATCCATAAGCTCCACCTCCTGTTGCCTATCATCTTTTAACTCTTTATATTTTGGGTTTCTCATATAAGAGAAACCAGGTGACAATTAGCCTTCTGCACCTGACTTATTTCATTTAACATTATGGTCTTAAGCTCTGTTTTCTTACAAATGACTTAAGTTTATCCTTCTTTATGACTAAATAATACTCATTTGTGTAAATGTACTATCCATTCATTGGTTGTTGGGCGTCTAGGCTGCTTCTATAGTTTGGCAATTGTGAATTGTTCCACTACGAATGAGTGTTCTTGTATCTCTACAGTATGATTTCTTCAACTCTTTCAAGAAAATACCCAGGAAAGAGGTATATTTTCAAATGGAATTTATAGTTTTGATTTTTTTTTTTTTTTGAGGAAAGCCATAGTATTTTCCAAAGTAGCTATACTAGTTTACATTCCCACCAACAATGTAGAAGTGTTCCTTTTTCCCCATAGCCTCACTAGCATTCGTTGGTTTATGTGTTCTTGATGATGGCCATTCTTATTGGAATAGATGAAATCGCAGTGTTTTTTTGATTTGGATTTCTCTAATGGCTAAAGATGTTAAATATTTTTTAATGTATTTGCCATTTGTGCTGCTGCTTTTGAGAAATATCTGTTAATTTTATTGGCTTATTTTTTTTTGTACCAGGAATCGAACTCAGGTCCTTGCGCTTGCCCAGCAGGTGGCAAAACCACTGAGCTAAATCCCTGGCCCCATATTGGCCTATTTTTTCATTGGGTCATTTGTTTTATAGGGTCTAATTTTTGTGAGTTCTTTATTTTAGATATTAAGCCTTTTATCAGAAGAGTAACTGGTAATTTTTTTCTCATTCTGAAGGTGGTTTTGATTGTTTTCCTTGCTGTGCAGGAGCCTTTTAATATAATCCTATTGTTGATCCTTCGTGTTATTTCTTGTGCTATTAGTGTTCTGTTCAGGAAGTGCTTGCATATGCCTGTGTCTTCAGATGTTTTCTGTATTTTATCTTCCAGCAGTTTCAACCTAGGTTTCTGATCCATTTTGATTTGATTTTAGTATAGGGTGAGAGATAAGTGCCTAGTTTCACTCTTCTGTACATGGATAGCCAGTTTTCCCAGCACCATTTGTTTAAGAGGCTATCTTTTCTCCAGCGTTCATGGTTTTAGCCCCTTTGTCAAAGATCGGATGGCTAGAAGTACATGATTTGTTTGGGGGTTTTTTTTGGTACTGGGGATTAAACTTGGGACCTTGTGCTTTCGAGGCAGGTGGCGGAACCCCTGAGCTAAATCCCCAGCCCAGCTAGAAGTACCATGGGATTGTTTCTGTGTCTGCTATTTTATTGGTCTATATCTATTTTTATGCCAGTACCATGCTATTTCTGTTACAATAGCTTTGTAGTATAACTCAGAATCTAGGATTGTAATGCCTTCTATTTTGCTCTTTTTGCTCAGAATCACTTTTGCTATTCTGGGTCTTGTCTGGTTCTATATAATAGGGTATGCCTTTCCATTTTCTAACATCCTCTTAAAATCTCTTCAGAGTTCAGTAATACCTCAGTTCACAAATGCTTCTGTTTGCAAACAAAAATGTTCAGCAAAAATTTGCTTCCATTTGAAAATTCTGCATTGGATGACAAACACAACCAAGGCCATCTTCCCCAAAATTGTAAAACAAATTAAGTTCATAAACCAGGGTACCACTCTACTGTCATTTTTGTTTTTGTTTTTTTTGGTACCAGGGATTGAACTCCGGTCTTTGCGCTTGCACAGCAGGCAGCGAAACCACTGAGCTAAATCCCCCGCCCAGTGTATTCATTGAATTTTTTTTTTTTGGTACCGGGGATCGAGCTGGGGTCCTTGCGCAGCAGGCGCCGAAACCACTGAGCTAAATCCCCGGCCCTGTCATTTTTGTTATAGAGCTTTTTCATGAACTCTTAGATTAGGTTGATTCCTTGGCATTTAATTTTTTTGAAGTTACCATGAATGAGATTGTTTTTCCTCACTTCTCAGTTGCATTCATTGTAGGTATACAGAAATGTTACTGAATTTTGTGCATTGATTTTGTATCCTGCCACTTTGCTGAGTTTATTAGCTCTTAAAGAGTCCTCTGCTGAAGTTTTTGATCTTCTCTGTAAAGGATTATATCATTTGAATGTAGAGGTAGCTTGACTTCTTCCTTTCCTGTTTATATCCCTTTCAATTCTTTTTCTTACCTGATTGACTTAAAGTTTTGAGTAATAATGATATAGGAGAACTATAACTCCTGACCTGTTAGATGCTAGGTCCTAGGTCACACAGCATTAAGGAATGAAGTCTCAAACCAAAGGAATAAGCAAGAGAGGTTTATTGGAAATAAGGAGAGACTAGCGGTCCGGAATGGGGTGGCAACCGAGGGCCTTTGTCAGGGTAATTGATATGGCAGAGTCACAACATGGGTCAGATGACAGCCTATAGGATTACAAGTATAGCCGCTTAGCTAATATTGATCCAATAGGGAAACAGGTCATACGTGTAGCAAGGGTACCTGGAAAGAACAAATGCATTTTTGGGAAGGGGTGGGTCCACATGCTCTGGTCATCTGCCTGGGTGACTGTTGCTGAGCTGGACTTCTTGGACCAGGTGGTGCGAATTACAGTATAATTTCAAGTTACTGTTTATCCCTTAGGGAGGCAGGTAGGCCTGGCCTTCAAATGCACTTCCACCCACAATTCTGATGTCTTTACTGTTTGTGCCAACTTCTTTGAGGGCCAAGATCCTCTCTGACTGTGTACTTATTTCTATCTAACTTAGCTGCCTATGGTTATAACTGAAGAGGAGTTGTGAGAGTGGACACCTTATCTTGTTCCTGATTTTAGAGGAAAAGCTTTCAGTTTTTCCCATTTAATGTGATGTTGGCTGTGGGTTTGTCTTAAATGGCTTTTATTAGTTGGAGATAAGGTCTTTTAATACCTGTTTTTGTCAAGGTTTTTAATTATGAAAGTTTGTTGGATTTTTTTCAAAGGCTTTTCTTACACCCATTGTGATGGTCATGTGATTTTTGTTTTTTACATATGTACCATCCTTGCTTTCCTGGATGAAGCTAACTTGGTTATGATGGGTTTTTTTGGTACCGAAGATTGAACTCGGGTCCTTGCGCTTGCACAGCAGGCAGTGAAACCACTGAGCTAAATCCCCAGCCTAACTTGGTTATGATATATGATCTTTTGTAATGATTTGTTGCAGTCTGTTTGCAAATATCTTGAAGATGTTTGCATTTGTATTCATCAGAGATTACTGGGTTGTAGCTTTCTTTTTTTGTTGAGTTCTTGTCCAATTTTAGTATTGGGTCATGCTGTCTTCATGGAATGAGTTTGGAAATGTTCCTTCCCTCTCAATTTCTTGGGAGAGTTTGAGGATCACTGGCATTAGTTCTCTGAAATTCTGGTAAAATTCAGCAGTGAATCATCATATCCTGAGTTTTTCTTAATGCTTACATTTCATTGCTTTTAATCTGTTCAGGTTTTTTTTTTTATATATCTTCTTGGTCCAATTTTGGTATGTATCTGGGAATTATATCCATTTCTTTCTAATTCTCTAGTATACTAGAATACAGGTTTTTTTTTGGTACTGGGGATCGAACTCAGGACCTTGTGCTTGCGAGGCAGGCGGTGGAACCAATGAGCTAAATCCCCAGCCCTAGAATACAGGTTTTTGAAGTAGTTTCTTCTAATCCTCTGAATTTCTGTGGTGTTTGTTGAATTTTCCCTTTAGTCATTTCTGATTTCATTGATGTGGATCTTTTCCCTAATTTTGCTAATTTGGCTAAGAATTTATTCATCTTATTTATCCTTTCAACAA